CCATGATTTTTCACAAAAATGCATATTTTTTACATTTTCAAATTTTCCAAATCCTTTCGACTTGTTTTATAAAATTCCTAAGATGAAAATGCAATCTAGACATAGAGAGATAAGGCCCAATGTACAAATACTACATATTATCTAGTTTTGACATCATTCAAAACATCTAAGAGAGGATATTGCCCTCACAAATGCTTCCTCTATATATATTTAGAAGTCTACAAAATTGAAATCTAAGGGTGCTTTTTAAAAGATATCGCCTTCTTCACCTTCCACTTCTCTTGGACAGAGGCCACGTCCAGGATCCTATGTAGATATTTATGGTAGTACATGGATCTCTCTATATCTATGCATATTTCCACGATTTCATCTTCAGTGTTGTGATGTTTCATATTAAGACTAATAGTAGAAGGTATTTCCCCCAAGGATGCTATGATAGGTCTCCTAGAATAGAGTTATAGATACAGTTACATTAAATGGCTTATAATTGGACATCTACAACCCACTGTTCCTCTTCCTTCTCAGGGTAACTAGTAGTTCTATAAAGCCCCAAGGGCAGGTTACACTATTGTTCAAGCCTTGCAGATATGTTCCCATGTATGGTTTTAAAAAATCTTTTATGAATCCCAATTTGGTGAGAAAATTGTGTACATGATGTCGCATCAACTCCCTTTATTGACGAGAATTCATAAGACGTTGTAGTTGGCCTTGCACCCATGACTGTTAATGTGAAAAGTGTGTTGGGTATTACTCCTACATTTTTCTCTTTCAAAAATCCTATAGTTCGTTTAGAGTTCTAACATGACACCAATTTTGTTGTACTAATTAACATATAACATCTTTGAAATATTCCTTTTGACGGTTCCTTTGGATAATTTCTTTTAAAGTCGGAAACCTAGTGTCACTGAAGTGGTGAAAGTCCATTTTCCTTTCCTATGGTCTTCATACTCGTTGCTTTCTCTCCCATTATTGATGTCTTTAAATGCTTAGATTGTCTTCCTTAGCAGTTATCTTCTTGGCAGGGGACCTTATTGTCATGAGGATTTACTCCTACAGGTAGCTCTCTGATGGAAATATTTGTGTATCTTTTTTATCTTCCTATGACCATATTTTTTTGTACCTCATAAGCTTCCCCCTTCTTGATCAACTATTCAATCATCTTGAGGTGCATGAATTCAATTGTCTAATGCATGTGGCACTTGTTCAACTGAAAATACTTTGTTATGTTGGTTAGTTGAGACCTCTTCAAGGCTTCCAGGTACTTCACCCTGACTTATTTAAACCTCGCATGGGCTCACTTTTGTTAGATTCTTTCTCCGAACATGTTCAAAGGGGTGTACTCTAATAAACAAAAATAGGGACCCTTGTTCTTCTCTTTATGGGTCCTTTGTTCTTTTCCTTGTACTTGTATTTACGTAATTTTTTATTCTCGATCTTCTCATAATCAACTCCTTTATTTTATTTTTCTCGATATTTGTTGAAAGTTGCAGTAAAGCGGCTCTCAAGCAAAAACTTGAGTAAGTATCTTTTATCTTCTCCATAGGGATTAGTGTTATCCATGTCATTCAATAGTTACTATGTTTCTAAGCTTGTTTGTAAAAGTATATTTAAAGAGAAAGGAAAAATAAATAAACAACAGAAATTAAAGATCTTGGAGATGGGCGAGAACATGCTAGGATTGGTTTTGATAACTCGAAAATATGCCTTCTATCAGCCAGTTATACATAGTCTATTTATTCCTCAATGCCATCATGTATCACTCATGTCAGCGTTTGTGTACAAATGCCTACGAAGTTTCAACCATATCGTTCGTGTCTAAAGCAATATGGCAGCATTAATAATCGATACAAAATTGAATATTAAGCCTAAAGTTATGTCTAGCATTCAAGACCTAAAAGATGCTAAAGCATCAACACTGATTCCTAAATAGTTTGCGTCTAACTCCATGCCTGATAAACACAAATATATAACATACATACTAAACTAATCTACCATGTGTGAACTTCTCAATCAATTACTATTATCACGAATCCCTCTTCGACATCGATCGTGTCTAACCAAATGACGAGAGATTTATCGTAATTAACTCAACCGTGTCCAACCAAGCGTTACGGTAACATTAACAAAAGGATACAAATGAATATCGAATCCCACATTCGTGTCCAGATTATGGTATTCGATAGTCGAAAGCATTGGGTCATAAGTTTTGAAAGGGTTTTGTCAAAAGATTTGTCAAAACCTAGGTTTTACATAAACACAAATGAAATCAACAAAGTCAAATAATCAATCGGTTCACATACAATAGAATCAGAGTAAATATATATATGAGTATGAGTTATTACAATCAAAATCAACAAGAAAGAGATCTTAACCACTCATGGTCTCTAACCATGACAAGGGGAAGTGAAGAAGAAGATGAATCCACCAAGGTGTCCCATTGGGTGACTCAGATCCGACTCTGAATCCGCAAGAATCGTCTTCCTTAATGTTTGTAGCACCTCTCTCTCTCTCTCTCTCTCTCTCTCTCTCTCTCTCTCTCTCTCTCTCTCTCTCTCTCCAAAATGTTTATGCAACTTCCCTATTTATTGTGGCCATCAAGAATACAAAAAGTAGTGAAAAAATCACTTAAATAGAAGGGCTGACGCAGCAGGTCGCGCTTAGCCCACAAAGCCCGCTAAGCGCATTCTACTGTGTCGAGAAAAGAACAACTTTTGTTTTCGTCATAACTTGAGAACCGTAACTTCGATTGACGCATGGTCGGAAGCGTTGGAAAGATTGTTCAATGATCTATAAGACAATGACTAAATATCATTGCTTGAATACCTACAAAATAAGTGAAAAACTATCAAAAGATACAATATGTACATGAAAATGATTATACACAATATACACGTATTTACATACAAGTTGAGTTTTATTTATGAAAAGCAAACGAATTAAGCCGATGAGTGCTAATTATTCACACTAAAATTTAAAACAATCTAGCACTCATCAATATCTTTGGATAGTAGCTTATCCTTGTAGATGATGTATGGTTGTGAAGGCGAGTAGTTCGCTCATGCTTTGTGCCTCTTCTAAAACTAGTTTCTCTCTGAACATACAATCAAATCTCAAACATTTCTCAAAGATCCAAATTTTGAACTTATCATTTTCTCCCTTAAATTCTTTGGTGAAAGTATCGATGTTCTCTTTCAAAATCTCTTTCTTTTTCTGTATAATGACACCAAGCATATTCATTGTTTTCAATTGACACATTTGGGTGGTGAAGTGGGAAATGAACTCTTTGAATAATGTGCTCCACGAATTGATGGAATTGTCCTTCATACCTTTAAACCAAATGATGGTTCCCTTATTCAACGTGAGAACAAAGAGTTTTCCCCTGACTCTGCTTTTGGCTTGATGTTAGTCTAGAAAAATATCCACATTCTTGATGTGCTCGTCAGGGTTCCCAATGTCGTCACATGTATCTAGTTTTTGGGGTTCTCTAAAGACCTGGAGCTTAAGAATGGTGGAAGAAATACATTAGTGGAGGAACTGAAACGTGATTGAAAAATTCCTGTGGAGGGAGCTAAGCATGTTGTAGAGGGAGATGAGTCTCTTTGAGCGAGGGGTTCTAGTTTACAAATCTTGATGCAGCCGAAAATGGATGAACTAGTGTATGGCGTTAATAGTTCATTGCTAAAACATGTGTATCATCCTGAGGAAAATCGTCAAGAACTATCATCGCATTGTCTTGAATGACCTAGATTTGTGATCGATGAGCAGAATTGATAAACTTTGGACCGCCATCGGCGAAATAGCATAGGGTAGTTATGATTACTTGAAGTTGGTAACTAAAAGCAGTTGTGGTGGTGGAATTGAGGAGATTCCAAAGAATCTAAAAAACTATTGTCACAGACAACATCACTATCTAGCACTGGAATAGAAAATGATTGGTATGTCAATGAAGACCATCATGAAGACACTTTCAGCGCGACTCAAATAATTCTCATATGGCAGAGAAGGTACTTGCAAAAAAACGTAAATTTTTTGACGCTCAAGTCAGTAAGAAAATAAGACGAAATTTTGTAAATGTATGTGTTCAATCGTATTTGAATGTGACTCAATGCCACACTTAAATAAGAGAGGTCGTTGTAACCATCTCCAAATTATTCGATGTAGAATATGAGTAACTTTTGGATGAAGATCAACAAATATGATTGAGGAAAGATGTGCCCTTATGTGGCGTCATAAGATGTAAGTCCACTTATACGAAGATGTGGTGAATTTTTGAAGAAAATTAGGACAATCTTTTTAGACATATGAAATAATAATCCATTTCAAAATAATGATTTTGAAAGAAATTGTTTAATAATTATCATAATTTCAATTTTAGTATAAATTATTATTTTTCAATTAATATTAAATTAATATTATTTATACTACTCTTATTTTAATTTCAACATCTTTCACTTCAATAGAAAAATATTATATTTCTCTTTCATTTATAAATATTTTTAATATGTACAAATTCAATTATTTTTTGAATTACAAAAACAATTATACATACCCGTTTATTTAATTTGGTAATAAAGTCTTGAAATGAAATCTACATTCACATAGAAGTTCAATCCCGTCAACAAAAAAAAAACTTCACATCGCAGTTCAAGAACAATTGGGAAACTATTAGTTGACCATTAAGAAAAAAAGCATACTGTATTTATTTATGTAACAAAATAACAAGTTTATTTATGATATAAACAATAAGCCTAAAATACCCTCCACCTAATTGCAAGCTAGCAATATAGGAGAATAAATAATAAAATACACATAGTAATTAAGAAAAATATATAATAAATTTCCCGAAATAACCCTCTAGAATATGTATGACTATGTCAAAAGACCAAAACTATGTAACCAATAAACAACAAACGAATAAGAATATCATACAAAGTCACCGAATCGGGTCAACAAATCCATCAACGATCAACGATCAACGATCAACGATCAACGATCAACGATCAACGATCCCAGTCACACTTGGTGGTCTGAAACCCACCGTCTACCGTCGTAGCACCACCGCCAGAGTTCAAAGGAACACGCAACTCACAAGTAACCTTAGGCTTAATCGTCCTGGTCTTAAGCACTCCAAGCTTAAACCTAATCCTAAGATAAATCTTCAGATCAATCTCATAAACCTTAGAAGCCTTCTCTTTGTTAAAATCCAAACTCTGATCACCATCAAGAACCATCACTTTCGAACCCTTAAACGAAGTGTTAAGAAAGTTAGTTGTTTTGTGTCCTTGATAAAAAGGATCAAGAAAAACCGATTCAACTCTAGCATCATGGTACAAAGCTCTAGCTTCGATGTAATCGTAGTAGATACCAAGTCGTTTGTTCGGGTTGCGGATTGTTAGGTTGAGAGAGAGATCGTAGTTGAGGTTGTTGTTGTTGGTGGTGTAGTTGAATTGCGTGAGGGAAGCGTTGGTGACGTGGACTTTGACTACGTTGGGACGAACTATGAGCCAGAAGAGGAAGATGGCGATTCCGATTATGATTATGACGGTGAGGATTAGTTTGAAGATGAGGTTGAAGAGACAACCGCAGCAGCAGTCGAAACCGCCGCCGCGGGAGGGGCGGTGGTGGGTTCTTTGTGGGGGGATTGAGGGGCCGTAGTAGGCTCCGTTGAGTTGCTGTTTCTCGTACATGGCTAGATTGGTATTGCGGAAATAAAAGAGATATTGGAAAAAATAAGATATGAAAGAGTTAGAGGAAAGTGTAAGATATTTATATAGAATAATAGTTGATGGGAAGTTGAGGTATCAGGTATGAATGGAAATGATCCATATGGAGTAAGTGTATTTTGTGGACGGAAAAACAAATCAAAAAACGCGTGTAATAAAAGTCTACATTATATTATACTCATAGTTGGGAAAATAGTTACGCCAATGGGAAAAGAATTACGGCAACAAATAATTTTAAGTTACTTTGGAAAATTTGTAAATACGTTATTCACAAAAAAAAAAAAAAAACATTAAAATCAACTTTCTTTTGGACATTATTAAAAGAATATACTTACTGGTTTTAATTAGTGATATATAACTTCATATATTATAACTAGGTCTTGCCTTAACTAAGAGGCTAGTGGAGTTAGTTGCAGAGTAGTTCGTTTTCTACCGCGGTTGCTTTCGCAAACGTCTTGTCTGCAAGCAAAGGTAACTTGAATCGTCTTTTTTTCTTCACAATTTTATAATGAAGTGGTCTTTATATATATATATATATATATATATATATATATATATATATATATATATATATATATATATATATATATATATATATATTAAAAAAATAACTCATAACACATATGGAAACAAATTAAATTATTTTTAACTAATATAAACTTAAGAAATCTTATACATAAACATTTATATTAATTATAAGTGTTAAATGATAGTCTTTTGATTTCTCTAAATTAGTTAATCTATGATTTTAGTCTTCGCATCAAATCCCACATATTATTTATCATAAACCCAATTATAGAGTTAGAACCTCACTTTTACTTTGGATTGAAGGTTGCTCTATGACTTTTTCGATTAAATTCTGTTATGCCTTTTTTTTCCTTCTTTTCTGCAACTTTCACGTTCTCTTCCAATCCTTATTTTCTTCCTCTTCTTACTGTTACTTCTTTTTTCTTATTAATTCTAAATAACTAATATAATAACTCTATAATTCTCATTATGTCTTAATGGGCTTAAAACTCTTACACCCCATTTCCACTACTTCTATTCCTTAAAATAAGCTCACATCAAATAATATTATTATTCTAATATTATTCCATAACTCAATAGAATAAATTAATTCAATAACAACAACACATCAACTATCATCATAACACAACTTCACAAATAATCCAAAAATAATTTAATTAAATTACGGGCGTTACAACTCTCCCCCACTTAGAATATTTTCGTCCTCGAAAATTTACCTTAATCAAACAACTCAGGATAGGAGTCCCGCATCTTGCTCTCCAACTCTCAAGTCATGCTTTCTCCGGCAGCTCCTAGCCAAACCACTTTAACCAAAGCAATCTCTTTGCCCCTCAGAGTCTTTATTTTACGATCCATGATCCGTACATGCATCGTCTTCACCGTAAGGTTATCTCGTACTTGCACATCATCCATATGAATCACATGAGATGGATCTGAAATATACTTTCAGAGTTGTGACACATGAAACACATCATGCAAATTCGAAAGATTAGGCGGTAAAGCCACTCTATAAGCAACATTCCCAACTCTCTCCGAAATCTGATATGGTCCAATAAAACGAGAAGTGAGCTTCTTAGACTTCAATGCTCGCCCAACACCGGTCACAGGTGTAACTCTCAAAAACACATGGTCACCCGCTTGAAATTCTAAGTCTTTCCTTCGCTTGTCATGATAACTCTTATGTCTACTTTGGGAAGCGTTCATCTTTTCTCGAATCAACTTCACCTTCTCAGTAGTTTCACTAACAAGTTCAGGTCCAAGTACTACACTTTCACCAGATTCATGCCAACATAAAGGAGTTCTACATCTTCGACCATACAACGCTTCAAAAGGTGTCATCCCAACACTAGAATAGTAACTGTTATTACAAGTGAACTCTATCAACGAAAGATAAGTATCCCACGAACCCCCCTGCTCAAGAACACACGCCCTTAACAAATCTTCCAACGATTGAATAGTCCGTCCAGTCTGACCATCTGTCTGAGGATGATACGCCGAACTCAACCTCAACTTAGAACCCAACGCTTCTTGCAAACTCTTCCAAAAATCAGAAGTAAACCTCGGATTTCTATCCGAAACAATGCACAAAGGAACACCATGCAGCTTCACAATTACACTAGTGTGAATCTCCGCCGACTTTGACACTAGAAAACTGATGTTAATAGGAATAAAATGAGCCGACCTTGTAAGCCTATCAATAATCACCCAAATCGAATCATATCCTCGTAAAGTATTAGGTAATCCCATCACAAAGTCCATCGAAATCCTATCCCATTTCCATTTTGGAACTTCTAACGGTTGCATCAACCCTGCAGGCTTTTGTTGTTCAACTTTTGACTTCTGACAAGTCAAACATGCATACACAAACCGAGCCACATCACTCTTCATTCCAGGCCACCAAAACAAACCTTTCAAATCTTGATACATCTTTGTAGCTCCTGGATGAATACTCAGCTTACCTTTATGACTCTTTTCAAGTATCACTTTCTTCATCTCTGCATCATCAAGAATACAAATCCGATTACGGAATCTCAACACACCTTGCGCATCTAGCTTAAAATCACTATTCTCATACTGATCGATTCCAACCATCGAATCTACCAGTTTCACGTCCAACTTATGAGCTTCTGTGATACGGTCTAGAAATTCATTATTAATCTTCAACATACCCAACACAACACTCTGCGGTGTCACCTCGCAAACTAAGCTCATATCCCTGAACTGTTCAATTAATTCCAACTCTATAACCATCATTGCCGACATATGTAAAGTATTTCGACTCAATGCATCAGATACCACATTCGCTTTTCCTGGATGATAATTCAAACTGAAATCGTAATCCTTTAACAATTCCAACCATCCCCGTTGTCTCATATTCAGCTCTTTCTGATCGAATAAATACTTTAAGCTCTTATGGTCACTAAACACTTCAAATCTAGAACCATAAAGATAATGCCTCCAAATCTTCAACACAAAGACCACTGCAGCAAGTTCTAAATCATACGTAGGATAGTTCCTCTCGTGAGTCCTCAACTGCATTGACGCATAAGCAACTACCTTATCATTCTGCATAAGCACACCTCCTAAACCAATCTTAGAAGCATCACAATATACTACAAAAGTCTCTCCTGGATTAGGTAACGTCAAAATTGGAGCCCACGTCAATCTCTTCTTCAATTCTGTAAAACTTTCTTTGCACTGAACATCCCATACAAAAGATCCACCTTTACAAGTCAACTTAGTCAACGAAAGTGCCAACTTAGAAAAATCTTCGAAAAACCTTCTATAATAACCAGTTAATCCCAAAAAGCTTCTAATCTCAGTAGCTGACTTCGGAGTTTCCCATTGCAACACCGCATTAACCTTTGATGGATCTACAGCAATGCCACTACCTGAGATCACATGACCAAGAAAGCTAACCTCCTTTAACCAGAACTCGCACTTAGACAGCTTTGCATACAACTTATTTTCTTTCAAAACTTACAATATTATTCTTAAGTGTTCTGCATGCTCTTCTTCTGACTTAGAGTAAATCAAAATGTCATCAATGAACACCATTATAAACCGATCCAAATAAGTATGAAAGATATGATTCATGTATTCCATGAATACTCCTGGCGCATTAGTAACACCGAAAGGCATCACTGAATACTCGTAATGTCCATAACGCATTCTGAAATCCGTCTTCTGGATATCTTCATCCTTCACCTTAATCTGATGGTAACTCGACCTCAAATCAATCTTACTGAACACACGAGCATCCACCAATTGGTCCATTAAGTCATCTATTCTTGGAAGCGAATACTTGTTCTTAATCGTAACTTTATTCAACTGTCTATAATTAACACAAAGTCTCATACTTCCATCTTTCTTCTTTACTAACAACACTGGAGCTCCCCACAGCGATACACTTGGTCTTACAAAATTCTTTTCAAGTAACTCTTCCAATTGCTTCTTTAACTCTGACAATTCAGATTTAGACATCATGTATGGTGCCATAGACACAGATCTGGTACCAGGTACAAGATCAATAGCAAATTCAACTTCCCTCTCCGGTGGTACATCAGGAATTTCATCAGGGAAAGCTTCAGGAAATTCACACACCACCTGCAATTCCTCAATTATAGCTTGAGTCTCTACAGATAGCGACACCGTCAACGAGAACATTTGTGCTTCTTCTTGCATCAACTTCCTCAATTGTCTAGCAGACAATCGGCTATCTTCCTCTTCTTCAGGAGTATAAAATCTCATAGACTTGTCATAACAGTTAATATGAACATCGTTATGCTCTAACCAGTTCATACCCAAAATCACATCCAACCCTCTTAACGGTAAACAAACCAAATCAACAGCAAAGTCTCTGTCAAAGATCGACAAAGGACACTTTAAACACACAAAAGAAGTAGTCACCGACCCCTTGGATAGAGTGTCGACGACCATTTCTCCATTCATAGAAGACAATATAAGACCCAATCTTTCAACACAATCAGCAGCAATAAAGCAATGACTAGCACCAATATCAATAATAGTAATTAAAGGAGTATTATTAATGAAACATGTACCTCTGATAAGTATGTTCTCAGCAGCTGCCTGATCCTCAACCAAAGCGAATACTTTACCACTTGTCTGCGTCCTCTTTGGTTTCTGACACTGACTACCAATGTGCCCTTCTTCACTACAATTGAAACAAATCACATTCTTATGCTTGCACTCAGATGTAACATGTCCAGTCTTACCACAACGGAAACACCTCTTTACTTCAGCAGTACACACATTACTCTTATGCCCAGGTTTTCCACATTTAAAACAAACCACACCAGCAGGAGCATCTCCCCCACTAGTCCTCTGACCCTGAGCAGCTTTTTGTTTACCTTTACTAGCCAGGGTATCATAAGGCTTACCACGATTCTGTTGGTGCTTACCCCTCTTCTCACTGA